CAAGCAACTTTTTGTCACCATTATCTCGGAATGTAGTCTGCTGTCACTTCCTTGAAATCTTTCCTTTCATAGCGAATGAGCTTGAATTTCCTTGTCCTCTTGTGTCGAACTTGAGCTTCAAGTATGTTTCGAACTTGCCAGCTTTTGAATCGCTCTTCCATTATATCACCGGTTACCTAGAAAACGAACGGTACTTTTAAAAGATAAGGTGTAAAAGCTACTAAATGTCTTACTAATAATGACATGATGTGGGTAAGTCACAAGTAGGATAACAACGAATAAAATTTTTATTAAAAATATCTTACAACAGGTACTGACGTTTCGAACCAAGGTCTGTCTGGCTTCAGGGTAGCTACGTGACTTGTGACTTACCCACATACAATATCATATCCCGTATAAAGAACTCGCGCTACTTTCAGAATAATAATCGCATCACAAATTTTGGAACTGAATAATTTGTTCAAAAATCGGTAGTTTTATTGGTAAAATATCAGCTTCCGCTAGTCTCAGCATCATCAAAGAGCCTTCTGTTTAGTGTCTAAAAAAAGGTCATAAGATTAAGATCAAAATATCGTTATGCAAATGTATGTACGTATGTATGTTGTTTGTATGTATGTTTGTATGCATGTATGTATGTGTGAATGTATGTATGTATGTACTATGCTTCGGTTGAGCTTTACACTAACCGCAAAAATGTCATCAAGCCACAACTTAAGATGAAATGTTTACCATGATTAAACCAGTGTCGAACCTAACTTATCCGGGAGAGTTAACGGATTTCTCTGGAGACCGGTCAGAGGACGCGACCCAGAGAACGGATAACCTGTATTCCTCATTCCAGAGCTCACTGGAAGGCGCTAAACGGCGCGGAATGTAGAGAAGAAATGCGGTTAGAATCGCACGGTCTGGCAACACAGTATTACCAGCAGGTGTATATGGTTCAGACTTGCGCATTAACAAATGAAAATGAGGAGCAGCAACGGAAAGGTAACATCGCATCGCCGTTGGATAACTAACGGACTTCAATGGTAACGGATTGTTAACAAAGAAGCTGCAAGAATTCAATGGAAGGACTCAAGCTGAAATGAAGCAACAAGTCAAAAGAAATATGAAAGGCTGAGCGACTGATTGCAAAAGACAGATCAACGTGAGCATCAAAATCACGCGGTGGTAGCTATTTTATATGAGAGCTTATTCTACGAAGATTTTTTTGTGCAAAACTGTCAGTTTAAAACTCTTAGTTTCTTATGATCCAGAGGAACTGTAACTTAATCATATGTCAAAGGCGAAAAGTGTAAAAGATACTAACAGATTTTTTTAAAACTTACTCGTAATTGCCGCAGACTATGAGGCACTTCGTCTGGCAACAAAACCGGCTCATCCGACGGTTCGAACTTAAGCCTACCCAAGCGATGCGGGTGCTTCAGTCGTTCGTACTTTTTCTTCACTTTGAGCATGCTCTTTTTTAAACTCAGTTCTTGTTCTTTCTTGATTTCAGCCTTGATTGAACGCAGTCTGTAAAAGAGACATTGCATACCTATGAACAGTTAATTTTACAAAAGCACCTATAAACGTCGTTAAGAAGAGCCTTCTTCCTCTTTTCTTCCCGTCTAGCTCTTTCGATTTGCTTCTGCTTTATCATCCGCTTCCGTTTCTGACTCGTTTTAGGTTTCGGACGAATGTTGGTCAGCAGGGTGTTCGTCTCTTCATCGTTTGCTCCGGTATCCTCCTCCTCCGCTGGAAAAAGACCTTCGCACAGTTCCTTTAGTTTCTCTTCCTAAAATTATTATGCGTCACCTGTGACAAGGGTGTTTCCAGAAGGAAAGCCATAACGCGATACATAAGTCGATCTCACAGCCTTAACCACATATCTACTTCTTCTCGCTTTTTCACGGTAATGACTTGTCAATCATATGTGTAGCAGTGGTTCGGTCCAACGAGGAAGTGGCAATGAATGCTGAATATAGCCTCGATTTATCGCTCGCTATAGTAAACTATGAAAAATAGCTTACCGGCCATGAAGATTATTTGTTGAATTACATGCAACGAATATAAACAGTACGGTTCTGAAAAATGATATATGTAGAACACAGAACTGATTAAGCAAGCAACATTTCGGAGGTAGGTAAAGGTCTCCTGGATGGAAAAACTTACAGGGAGATGTATGTTTCCACTAGATACTAAAACAGTGACAAAGGTTCCAAAGGTTTCTTCTCTAGTAATTTAAATAAACCACTTTAATGAAATTTCTACCAAATGAACCAGTCTGCATAACGAACCGGTTTGTAAACCGCAACAGAGCCTTCTGCAACCGAGGACCAGGTAGCTCGACTGTACTGGAAATGTGACTGGTGCGCCTTTGAATTAGAATGACGAAGTCGGCCTTCTTAGTACAAGACCGGATACTGGAAAACATTCTGAAGATACTCTTTGCGACCACCCGACTGGATGCACGTTTTAAAGAAAGGTGAAAAATCAAAAAATTTTTCTTTCATAACGTGATCTACTCGACAAAGCGAGCATTATTGAAAATGCTTTGGGTGAAGCGTAAAAGGACGAGACTTAGACGACGATTTCCGCACAAGATCGAAACTACGATAGAAATCTTTAGCTAGAAATATTTAACACGAAAAATTCCTGTTTTGATCGAACTAGGTTTAGGTCAGAGATTCAAGCCGTCATCAGCCAAGTAGTGCAAGTTACTGATTCCTTTGCTTTTATAAGTAAAGACCAGCAATCTGATGGTATGTCAATATTAGTTTTGGCCTGAAAGCTAGATCTTGACCATGTGCCGCCTCATAGTCGTCTTCTTCAATACCAGATGGTCAAGACCAAGCTTACTGACCAGAACTGACACCCTGACATACCATCGAGCTGCTGAAATTTACTTATAAAAATAAAGCAATCGGCGTGTTTCATCAGTTGGCTGATGATGGCTGGAAATTCCGAGCGAAATCTAGTTTTCATCAAAACAAGGATGGTCGTTTGTAAATATTTCAAGTAAAAGTTTTCTATGGTTATTATTCATGTTTCTCAAGCCGTCAAGTATTTTTGAATTGTTAAGACTAAACTGTTAACTCATGCACTGTCATCGTCTGAGAGGACTACTACATGGCTGTAAAGTAAAATTACCGGGGTGATGATGCTGTCCTTGTTGACGAAAAGTGATCGTTCCAGTTTTTCTTGCCGCTTCAACTTCTCCAATTCTCTCTGGGCTGCTTCTTCCAGTAATTTCTTAAAAAATAGAATTGGTGTTTTACGTTAAAAAAATTTAACCTTTAACGTTTCAGTTAACTAAAAGGGCTGCATTCAGCACCTGGTTCTGAAGTACAGGTATTTTTGCTGTCCGGGATCACACATACTTTGTGATCTTCAGGTGAAGGATTGTACGAAATCCCTGCTTTAGGAAATTCCAAGTTTGGTCGCAAACTTTCGTTGACACCGACAGTTTTCGGCAATGGTTTCTTCTTCTTCCGAGTCTCTCGAAGATAGTATTCTTTTAACTCCGGGTCTTGAATTTTGTCCGCTGGAGTAGGATCTGTATAAATGAAGCGATACTGGTACGAAAAAGATTGAATTCGCGCCATATTACCCTTACTGCTCCAAATGTCGTAAAATTTGACGGAGTAGCCCGGAAGTGGCTGAGGTTCTTCTTCTGGGGTCGGCGCTAGCTTGGCCACCTGACGCGAAGAGGATGAGGTCGTCATACGTACAGCAGCTCTATAAAAAGAATGGTAAACTTCGCTAATCGAGAAAACACTTCTATTTTGAACTTCTGCTTAGGCTTCGGCTCCTGGAACCGCTTTAACGAAACATCCTTGGCCTGGTCCTTCCGCGATTTGAAGCATTTTAGCAACATAAGACCGCGATCCGGCCTTTTGCTAAGGGAAAACAATTCGACATCCTTTTTCTCGGCTAGCCGGCCGCCGAACTGCTGTTCTTCTTTGCGAACATCTTCAAGGTACTCCTCCACATCATGCACGTCGATGCCCTTTCGCCAGTACTTCTTTTTATGTCTGCTGATCTTCTGCGCTCCTTTACGTACCATCTTTATACCACCCTAAGGAGAAGTACGGTAAAAATTCGACAGACCACGCGTATACTTTACAACTAGAAAACGCCCTAAATGATTTTCTTTAAAAAATAGCATTCAGATTAAAAACTATTCAAACCACAGCTTCCCCTTGAGAGTATGAACCTCTATATTGTTCGAGATAATATCGTTATACTGTTTTGTAGTGCATCCAAGTACCGTAGGTGTTAAAATACGATGACACTCTGATCTACTTCGTGTAAATACAGTTGTGCAAATTTAACTTATAATTCGATATAACGTCGTACAAATCAGTATGACAGTATTCGTATACATTAACTTCAGTTTGCTGTAAACCCAAAAGTGTTACGTATTTTATCACCCCTATAACGGTGAATGCCAAAAA